TGTTAGATTCGGTACCCCAGTGAACTTGAAGACCATTGAGGTTTAAATGCAATCAAGAAGAAACTTTATTCCAGGAGTCTCACTGGCACCCTCTAGGTTTTTTTCTCTCAACCCTTACTAGGGGGCATGTCTACACTAAGAAATTATTTTGAAATAACTTATTTTGAAGTAATAACTCCTGAAATAACTATTTTGAAATAGCGTGTCCACACTACAGGGAAGCCTTAAAATTAGTCTGAGGCAGGCTCCCTTAACGTGGATCTGCTACCTTGACTTAGAGCCCCAGGAAGCACTGAGGAGTAATTACTTTAAAAGGCTCTGGGGAGTAGATATTTCAAAATAGCAGCAGTAGAGCATCCACATTAATGCTATTTTGAAGTAACTATTTCAAAATAAGTGTTGTCACTCGTGAAAAGCAGGAGTTATTTTGAAATAACTAGCCCATTATTTGGAAATGAGAGGCTTGGTAGTGTGGACACACCACTTGTTATTTCGAAATAACTCCCTAGTGTAGACCAGGGCTGGGCCCCTCCTTGTCTTCTTCCTACCCCCATTTACTAATTTCTTCTTCCTAGCCCCACTTATTAGTTACTTAAAGGAGCCATGCCTCATAAGCAGACATAACCAAATCCCATGCTGGATGCTAGCCTTCTGGAGAAGAAACCTAGAAATCATTATTTTGTGAACTGGAGGTAGCAGTTGCATTCAGAACTAGCATTTTTACTGACAGGTACAATTGCAGGTTTTATTTCCCTTGTTTGGGATTTTCCAGGTTAAGAAACCAATACAGCACCAATACTGCTGATCTCATTCTCATTAGATTCACCAACATCGACACTCTTATACAATCATGTTTCTCATTTCTAGAATTTCCGTCTGTGGCAGCAAAAACAATTATTCCTTCTACAACATAAGTGGAAAGTTAGTGTGTCATACCAGCATGTACCCAGGTTTTCCTAACCATCCAAACAACTTGATTCTTTTTATTTCCCAGTGAGTTCCTTGGATTTTTTTTTTCAATAAAGTTACAGGCTTTTTTATAGGGGTCTTTGCTCCCATTCCCATTGTTGCTTTTCTGCTGCTGTCACCAATAGCTTCTTTTAAAATTGATTTGGCCTCAGTTTTGGGTCAACAGGAGGCACTTGGAGTGTTCCATGCTAAGTGAGGACAACATTCCAAAGATCTCATAGCAAAAGCATGTTTGAGAGACGATACCCGTAAAATAATTTACGATGCAAATGCATTTGGTGCCCTTTATAAATTAGCACCTCTATAACTTGACATTAGCCGTGTAACCCACCACAGTTGCTATTAGCAGAACATAACAGGTGGCCCAGCACATCCATTGTTTGTGTTACAGAGGCACAGAAAAAATACAGTCACACATACTTACCACCCCCACAAATAATGGGGGCACAATTTTTGATGCCCTTTTAATAGAGTAAATGCATAACCTGAGAGCATCAGTGTACAGTACAGAATGCTCAGTAAGTGCAACAGCAGATATAGGATTTGTCTTAGGAACACTGAGGAATTTTCCCCAAAGCAATGGTGGCCCAAGAGTAACTTAGTAGAAATGTAATTTGCTGAAAGCAGCAAGATTATGCACCACAGCAGTAATTGGCAGGGAATGTGGTACATTTGGGTTATGATTCCCCCACAAATGGAACACAGATGTCAATTTCCAAAGGCTATCAGAATCGCAGACATATAGGAGAGTCGCCAGCATTATTTAAACAAATTTGTCACTTAGCAGGTGTTAAAATACAGTAAAGAGAGTGGGAAGTGACCACTGGTCACATGCTGAGACTGACATAAGGAAGCGCTGGCTGGACAAAAGCAGGAAGCTGATCTCAAATTGGAGGGACCTGAGGCTATAGGACTAGGTGAGAGATGGAGACAACCAAAATCTAAGGACAACCACATATTTGAGAAAGGACTGAACACCTTTAACCCTGTTGCCAATAAACTTGGACATGATGCTTCCTCATCATCCCTGGAAATCAGAGCACTTACTTAACACTGGGATTGGCACCTAACACTTTCAGGATCCTTTGAAAACCTCAGCCAAGGTGTCTAGATTTGAATTCAGGTGTACGATTATAGGCCCAGATGTTAGAAAATACAGGCTTAAGTGCTACTATAAGCTCCTCATAGTATATTCAGCTGCTTATATATTTCCCATATGCTTGTAGGCCAGGCTTCCCATGAGTAATTTGACATAGGTGAGGCCTCTTTTCTTGGGAGACAGGGATAGATAGGGAGGTAAATGAAGCAGACAGTTAGAAATAGAATGTCTGTACCAGCTAAGATAAGGGGGAAAACACAGCAAACCACTGATAATGGACAAGATATCAATGGACAAAAACTCAGAAAGTAAGAGGAGGTAAAAATGAGGCCATTTATGGACAGTGTGTGGACAGAGCATGCAGTATAGAGACGGGTTCCTACAAAGCAACTAAGTCTATCCCAAAATGTGATGCAATGTATAGTAAATGCAGTATTATGTGTAAATATACATAAAGGAAAAGGTTTGCTGTGTAACCTTGGATATGCAGTGTGACCCTCTGCAGACCCAATAAACTTGAGTCTAGTCACCTCAGCCTAGATGTGCTTTATGCCAAATAAAGAAAGCTGGAAAACAAGACTAAAGTCAAATGGCGTTTTTGGAAATCCAACAGGAAGAGGTCTCAGAGGATCCCCATAATGTTAGTTATTCAGTCTGAAATATTCTGTACATGATCTCTGCTTTAGGCTGACTAGGAAGGGAACTGGGAAGTGAGTTTCAGCATCAATAGTGCAATTATTTCTGAAATCAAAGTTGAGTCAAATGGTAGTGTTGTCAGCGATCACAATATTTTCCAAATATTCATTGAAAAGTGCTAGCACCACTCTGGTTTTTGGTAGGAACTTGAAACTTGGTTTAAGGATAGCCGTGGCATCAAAGAGGTACCTTATGCTCTCACTGTGAAAGTTTACCTTGGTTTGGTCAAATTATAAGATGTGAAAATTGGTACACATCTACTCAGAAGAACTTCTGTAAGTGCCCATTTCTTAATTTTCTGAACATTGCATCTGTATTGCAAATGCTCTGTAAATCTCATTGAGCTGTCCTGGCCTGCCCTGCCAAAATATTCACTGGCTTGAAAAAATGTACCCTGGGCTTGGGACATGATGAGTCACCTTTTTCACTCACTGCATTTATATTTTTGTTTATTTCACAATCCTTAACATTGTCCAAGGCTCCAGATCTTTGTGTTACAGGCTGGCAAGTATCATTATCCTCCTCCCTGAAAGCTAACAGAGAGTGCATAAGATCACTTCCAGCAGAGCTGGGAATAGAAAATAGGACAAATGGTTTTGAAAATAGGTGTACTAAACCCACATTTTGACACTTAAATATGTATCCTGGTTTTTCCAAAGGGCTGAGAGCCCAGCAGCAACTATTTATTTCAGGATTTGGATGCCTAATATAAAGCACACATTTTTTTAAAATATAGTCCGGTTCTTCAGTATGGGACCCCTCTGCATCCACTTCAACTGCTTTTTCAGAATGCCAAATCTATCTTCTTAGCCTTAACTTCTCTCTGCTACAGGTCCCCATCTGTAAAGTGGAGCTAATAATCCCATAACATTTTAAGGCATTCACATGCAACAATGATGATCACAACAGAAAATTCCACGAGGAAATAAAATAATTCAGAAGACTTGCATTACATTAGGTACATAGCTGCATAACGAATTACAAAGATAAGAAGAAACATTAAATTGTTGCTTCATTCACTCAGAACTGCCCACCCAGCATCCTGAATGGGCAGAAGAAAAATGTGATTAAAGGCTTTAAACTTGGATAAAGTTTTCAGAAGTGTTTAAGGGGTACGTCAACACTGCATTTAGACCCTCCCAGCTTGCAGTGGCCCAGAACCCAAATATCCACACCTCAGTTAAACAGTCTCCTAGTCTGCACCCCATGAACCCAAGTCAGATACCACATTCCAACTATGGATTTTAATTGCAGTGTAGATATATCCACAATGATTTAGTCCCTTTTTCAAAACATAAATTTATAAGCGGAAGGGAACAGATTTACAAAGGCTTTTTTAAGGTGCCTAAAGATGCATAGAGACACTTGGAAAAAAAATTTAAAGTACCTACACAGATTAGGCTTTAGTACCTACATAGATTTAAAGGAGAGTTAGGTGCTTTAACTGTTTAGCCACTTTTGAAAATATCACTAGGTACCTCTATGCATTTTTATGCACCTAAATACCTTTGTGAATCGGACTACATGTCACTTTTGAAAACAGGACTTTGTCTCCTAAGCACTTAAGTTCTTATGAAAATTTTACTCTGTAGCATAATGCATACTCACAAGGGGACAGAAAGATGTTTGCACAGGCAACCTCTATTCTGGATTTTTTGTATTTCTTGTATTTCTTAACCTTTATATGCCTCACTTTACAACTTTAACAATATTAATTATTTTAGTTTTCATATTTGAAATATTCTATAGTTAGAGAATGAACCAACAAGCAACAGGAAAACTTACACTCCATGAAAGTGCTACCCAACACTTTATGTGTTATCCCTATGGATGTTCAAGCTATTCTTACTGGTCAGTTTTCTTCTCATTCATCCAGATTTCATTCTTCCATGTCATTTGTTCTGTACAATAGCTATCATTTGTCTTTTCTCTTTTCTATCATTTCTATTTTTTGTTTCAGTTACTTTTGATCTGGTGTTTCATTTTGCTTCCTTTATAATTTTTCTTACCTTATTTAGCCCTTGAAAACGCCCCCAGGAAATATGACCTCAGCATCTTATTAGAACTGCATAATTGTGTCTTCAGTTCTGTGTGCAATATAATATTCCAGTAGCTTTATGAGGGCATCTTGCATTGGCTAGGTTAATGTTTACTGATGTTTTAATGTAATAATAACCCATCTACTTCTGCTCATCTCTGGGACACTTTCTATCTATAGGGATGGAAATGAATGACAGTCTCTCTGTGCTGCCTGATGTCAGAGCTGAGAAAGGTGTGAAGGGTATATAAGAGCTGTATTACTTGCCAGCAAGGAGGGGAGAAAAAAGGGATACTGCAGAGGCAGATGCAAGCGTGGAATTGTTGCATGCACCCTTCCTGCTAGTACAGACGTGTGTGGAACTTCTTCAGTTAGTTCCTTAACCTCTTCAAGGTAAATGATTTCTCCTTTCTGTTATTTAAGATATAAAACTACACATATACACACTTGAAGAAGGGCACAGTGTGTTTCATTATTAAGGAACATCATTATTCAAGGAAAGGCTAAAATAAATATTTCAGGACATGCTGTAGCTGAAACCACAATCTGAAATTTAGAAAATATTGGGGAAAAATCTCAGGAGAGATGGGAAGAGGATGTAATCTACTAGATGCCAAAATTTACTAGAGAGCCATCTGAATTTATCTTTGTTGTGTCACTAAAGTTTGATCATGCTTTTGCTCTAATTAAATAGCTGAGATTAACTATTGTCTGTTTAGAACAGCATTAGGGTCGGATCTATTGAATGTTGAACAGTACTTAGGATCTCTTTTAGTTTTGAATTATTATTCTTTTCAGAAACTTAAGAAAAGATGTGCAACCTAAAGCTGCCAGTTGTCTTCATTGTACTCTCTGTTACTTTAAGCTATCTGGAGGCTACACCTATGGAAAAGTAAGTAATGAAAAATATTATTTATTTTTAATGAGAAAGCAGATATTTCAAATAATATGAGCTAAATAATGCCATTCAATTTTACCGTGTATTTTGTTTAAAGACTATTCTCTGTGGCTGATGATCTATCTGATGGGACTTCCAACAGACAAGGATGGCTATTACCAATCTTGTCAAGGAATACACCCTGGGGACTTAACAGGGCATTGCCACAACCAGCTGCAGCAAAGCCAAAAAGGTATCAAATTTCTTTTGCATTCCTCTATTCAAACCAAAAAGAATTACATTAAAAGGTACAAGTTGTGCCAGTGATATTCTTTTCTTTTAGATCCTTTCAATTCTGTTCAGATTCTCTCAGAAAGCTTAAAATATCATTTTTAGTAAAAATGTAGCCATTCTGTAAAGCAAAGTATTTTGAGCTAAAATGTGAAATATAGTTGGAAAGCCAGTTTTTCCAGATCTGTTATGGAAATCTGAAAAGTTCTGGAAAATTATGGAAATCTGAAACACTTTCAAAACATGTTCTCTGAAATTTTAGGTTATGTTCTGAAAGGAGGTTTACTTTGAAATGAATCTATTTAATTATTTTAAAATATTACTTTTGTCAGTAGGAGAATGATTGCTCTTTTTTTTAGATAAACAGCAATTTCAACATAGTAAGAATCAACAGAAACAGTTTGTCATGCTAGAATTCAACTGGTTTAGGGTATATTTACAGAGGCATGAATGTAATTTTCAATGGACTTTTGGTGTATAAAAATACAATTTTTAAAATAATTTGGAGTTTATTCCAAGTGATAAGCAGTACTGAATAATATTAGGAAAATTAGCTATATTGCCTGGTCTGTCTGTTTCCTGGATCTTTACATGATTGTCCTTCACCAGACAATAAACACTTCTCATTTTATAGTTACCTCTGAACACAGACGATTATTACAATCCAGAATGATAATCCTCCAATTTAATATGGGTAGTGAATATACAATCCCAGAACTCTTATAGCTAGTCTCTGTATTTTAAACAGTTACAATTCCTCTGCAAACTATTTTCTTCAGCTGCGAGGAGGGTCTGGTACCTTGCTCATCCATGGCCCAGTCCAACAGCCCTCTTCAAAGTAAGCAGCCTTCACTGAAGCCAGTGGTGTACCCCACTTAAATAAAGGCTGCAGGATCAGGTCCCCAGAGAGCTCACAGCCATGATGATATTTGGTGTCATTTTGTTCACCTGTGTAATAATGTTAGGTATTGCTAAGATATATAATAACTTGCTGCATCTGTTTCATAATGTTAACTATTGTAAAAATACTTGTCCAGGGTTTTGGGGCCTGGACCTATACTATTAAAGACAATGGGAGCTTTATAGTAATTTCATGAGAATAAGTGATAGATCTAGCTAATGGGATAAAAGTACTTAGCAAATTTACCATGCATTAAAAACCCGTTATATTGTTTGCTAGCTGTGTGATAGTATTTTGTGTCTTTTCTATTAGGATTATGATCACGCTCCTCTTGGAGTCAATAGAAAGACTCCCACTGACTTAAAAAAAAGTTGAATAAGACCCTAAATCACCATTTAACTGAAATATGACATGTTTAAAATATGACTCACTTGCAAGCTATTGCCCATTTGCTAACTAACAGCTGTTATAGCTCAGACATTGAGCATGCAGTTTCTATTTCACCTGCACTCTTAGATTCAAAATCACACTGCTGAAACATACTGTGACATTTTAAATACTAGACTTAGTCAATTAATGGAAAAAGATATTAATCAGAAATTAGTCAGAATAACATTGCCAGAATTCACATTTACAATGAATTACTTGACTTATTCAGCTACAAAATTTAGTTTATTTCATGTCACATCAGCATATAGATTACTTTGAAGAAGTATAAGGAAATCCTTCACAACAGATGGTCCTTACTTCAGGAACCATTGTCAACGGTAGAGAGTCTTTAAGGGCATGTCTTAATGGTCTATGAAGGAAGTTTGAAATCCAGGAGCACCCAAGAAACAAAGATTCAAACTTCCTCTTTCTAAAGCGAGTCCCCTGCATCCTACTGTGGGGAGGTCTGTCTGGTGAAATCTTAAACCCAAGGTTTGCTTTGGACATGGATGTTTAGAAGAAAGGTAGGCTCCAGTCTCAAAATGGCTCTTGCCCACAACAGCAATATTGCCATGCTGCCGTAGGCTGATTTTTAGTAGTGAAGCAATTGTGGTTTGTACAGAGCCAAATCTTTAGTGGCACAGAAGCCAATGGAAGATGCAGGTGCTGAGCACCCCTCAGGATGTGGCCCAGAACTTTAGCCCCAATCGTGCTGCCTTTTTTAATTAATTGGTGGTTTGCCATTGACTTTAATGGGACCAGTATGGCCCCTATGAGGTAAAGGGAACTGAATAAATGTGATTATTATAATGCTAATCATTCTCATGATATCATCAATTTCTCTAAATAGCTGTAAAAATAATCCTGGAGCTAAATCATTGTTGTCACTTACTGACTTAACTATACTGTTATTAGAGTTATTCTAGGTGCCAGAAGCTACTGTGCTGAATATCAATAAAAATGGCATGTGAATGTTGAGGTTTTTCAATGTAACCTACACCTACCATTAAAATATCATTAATAGCATGCGGTGTGACTTTTTCAGGCACAAAGTAGGTGGCAGGAATATTGTAATGTTCACATATTTGTGCTCACATTAAAGAACTCCTACATTATCCGTTAAAATGCCTTTTAAAGGTGGCATATTTGATTGTTCATCATTAGCCTTCACCATGGCTCTGTTTGTTTTGTGTTACCAGTCACCACTTGGAGAAACGGAAATGCAACACTGCTACATGTGTGACGCAACGTTTGGCTGACTTTTTAGTTCGATCCAGCAACAACATCGGAGCAATTTATTCACCTACCAATGTGGGATCCAATACATATGGCAAGAGGGACAGAGTTGGGCTTTTAAACAGAGAACCCTTAAATTATCTACAGCTTTAGTGCGTTGAAATGATTAATGCTGCACTCTTCATTGGGAGTTCCTCCCAGTTTTTATGTATAAATAACCTTTTAGTCATTTATTACCTATACATTCTTAACAGTGCCTTGTTTTCTTTGTGTGTGCGTGTACGTGTATGTGACTTTCATGTTTATCATTTCACTATGCATGTATGACAACATGCGTAGGCTATGGTTTTGAATTCACTAAAAGCTTCAGAAATCTGCTCATTAAATTCCTTTGTGAAAAAATAAACCACAAAACTAAACTGAAATGTAATTGTTATAGGGTTCTTTTTAATTAAAAAGATTAAAAAGGCAACCAAGATGTGTATGTCTTTGTAGTCAAAATACGGTGAGGGTAAAAATGAAACCTGTCCTAAACAACCACTCAGGGAGCTAACTAAAATCATGCGGTTAATGGAGGTTGTATCCTATTATAAATGAAGCAGAATTGTAACTTTTGGAGATATTAAGGAGGGTACTGCCCTTTTACTGGGCTCTAAACAGGAATTACTGGGTGAAATTCTATAGCATATTTTATGCAAATCAGACTAGATGATCACAATGATCCTGTCTCACCAAAAATCTGTTAGTATAATAAGGATGATTTTGTGTACAGGTTTAATTATATATTGCAGTACAGTATTTAGAAGTTTAAAATTCATACGTCTAAATTTTAGCTCGTTTAACTCTAACCATTATGAGAAGCAGTAAATTATAAATCTGAGCACAAGCAAATCCAGCTAATCGGGTGGCAAAAACTTTGTATTTTTCTTAAAGTTATGTCCTAAAAAAGAACTGGCATCTTTCTTTCTTTGTTCCTTTCTCTGAACTGAATTAATAAACTGATTTAAAAAAAGTAAGCAAAAGCATTAAAAAATTCTGTCCGTGACTTAAAGATTTTTTTTCAAATTGGTACTTTCTAATACTAAGCAATTAATTAAAATCTAAGAGAAGTTTGACTCCGTAGGTTTTTCATCGCATCTTATCCCAGAACAACATGGGTGTGCATTTATGAAATGTACATGTCATTTTAATCTGTGTTGTGGACTTTTGAAAAATCTGCCTCCTCCAGTATAGGATTTTTTGTGAAAACCCTTTCTTAGAAGCTATATGGGCCATTCTTTTCTTCTCATTAAAAACACCATTAGTGGAAAAGTAAATTAAACCTTAATACTCTGCATTGGTTGATTCACTTTCTTGCATTTTCTTTATAAAGTGTGCCTTAAATTACAAACTCTACGTTTTACCTTTATTTTAATTTATGTTTTGCCTTCATTTTATTAACTGATCGGAAGTACAATAAAATAAAAGCTAAAACAATGTGCAGGCTATTGCTAATCATGATCATTTGTCCAGAAAAGGTTATCCTTAATGATATTGCAAAGTATAGTTATTCATAAAGTCTTTGAAAAAGCTGTCCAAAAAGTATGCTTGCTTCATATGTCTGGCAGTTTAAAAACAGGTGTACTTTCACTTCATTATTGCTCAAGTTATTTTACAGCTCCTTTAGGTATCCAGTTTAGTTTAATTTTTTTCAGTTCAAGTAGAACAATCACTCTCCAGAAAGCAAACAACCAGATATTGTCAGAGTAGCTATGAGCTGTCACAGATAGGAAGCAATGGTGCATACAGTAATGAATAGCATGTTGCAGGTGGCTGCTTCAAGGTTTAGTGCACTATGTTTACAAAGGATGTTGGTGACCCCAGAATTAAAAGCCTTATACATATTAATTATGAATTCATCAGTGGTCTCTAAATTGCCATTTGATGACCCTACCACAGTGATAAAATTGGCCACACTAAAACACTGCATAGATTTCCAACACTACAGTTTCAGTAGTACGGTGTACATTTTTTCTGGTCTGTTCAATTCACTCTCCTGGTGATTGTGATGGTATCAACAATGCCATTTCTTTAGTTGGGAGGATATCCAGAAAGGGATCATGTCCTCAAAGTCAACAGATCAACTAATAGTGGGTCATAAGTTAATATAATTAAAACCCAATTCAGCAAAAACACTTTAGCATGTGCTTAAGTCTCACTGAAATCAATGAAACATAAGCATATGGTTGGCTACATTAGAGCCTTGATGCCACCACCACATCTATGTCACTTTAGGCTCAGTCTTGCAAGGTGCTGTGCAACTTCCATTACCATTAACTTCAAGTGCCTCCAGGTAGCTAACCCCTTATATGGTTGGAGCCTTCCATAACATACACAGAAAACTATAATCCAAGTCTGGACATTTCCAGCTCCCTAGTCAGTGCTGCTTTGACCACTTGGTCATTTGGAGTTTTGCCTGAACATAGAGTTAAGATAACCTTTGGTCTGCTTTAGATATACTTTATTCTTGGCAAATTTTTTCGTGACCTCCAGTTAGGGTTGCCAAGAGTCCCTTATTACAAGAGATATGCCTCATTTTTTTCATCTCTGTACAAGATTTGGAGTTGAAGAGTGCTCAAAAAGTAATAAGAAATACCCCTACCAAATAGAGGTAAATACTGATTAATTTTTATTATTATTCTACCAGAAGGCAGAGTGGGGTGGGGGTGCTAAGAAAACAGTTCCTTCGTTTTGAAATACAATGTTGGCAAACATCCTCACAGTTCCTCTTCTACCACAATGCAGGGTGGAGCACAGTCTATCAACCCCAATCACTTGAGACATCTAAAATGAAGCTGGACAATGCATTAGATCAGGGATCTCCAAACTTTTCAGCCCGAGGGCCACATTAACTATCAAACAGCAGTTCGGGGGCCGACTACACACTTGAGGTCCAAATAAAAAACAATCAAAACATGGATGTTGTTTTTAATTATTTATTTAATATTATTTTATTCAGTTATTATTTAATAACACATTCATACACTACACATGAACACCTGTATTAGTGTGAATGGTGAAATTGTTTCCTGGATGCCAAAATAGACATTTCTGGCTTTAGATTTGTTGTCCCTAACATCAACAGTGACCTGAGATTATCATCGGACAAGTTTGTTCTCAAATTGTTCTTCACGTATTTCATTCTTGAAAATGTTTGTTCACACAGGTATGTTGTTCCAAAGATTGAAAGGTACCTTGATGCAAAAGTTTTGACATTAGGAAAGTCTTCCTTGGGCAAAAACTGGTAAAAACCCACCAGTCCTATTTTGAACTTGTCCCTAAGGAGGTCATTTGCTTGCAACTCAATGACTTCCAGCTGCAGTTCATCTGGGCAACTGGCCACATCTGCTTCAAATGGGTTTTGAAACAATCTCACTTCTTCTGCCTTTGAATCCAAAAAGGTCTCCACGGGCCGGATGAGAGGGCCTCGCGGGCCGCATCCGGCCCCCGGGCCGTAGTTTGGAGACCCCTGCATTAGATGTTTCCAGCCATCACTTCTGAAGTCATGGTTCTAGTTCTCTCTGGACTCAGTTACTGATGGTGATTTGCTCAGTGGGAAAACAGTCCATTTGGTATCACGAAAAAGAAGACAATCTATAAAACCAACAGAATGATTGGTCCACATTGTTGGAAATATGCAAAAACCCATAAAGAATTAGGTGCCCAGAAGGAATAAAAGATAAATGAATCAAGCTGTCAGCTCAGTTGTCTTATAGCCAAAAGTGAGAGTTGTTTCTGTGTAATCCAATTCCAATACCCCTATTTATTTAGGCCTGGTCTACACTAGGACTTTATATCAACCCCAGCTCATCATGGAGCTCATCATGACTCTGGAGACAGTCCTGTCCTCCCAGGACATCTCCCTGGCCATCGATGACCCCAGGGAGGGCACTTCTGGTTAGTTCACAAACTTTGTCTAACTACAAGCGGGTTCAAGCAATGGGCAGTGAGCTGCAACACACTCTTGCTCTGCCTACGCAGCGTGGGGAGCACGGAATAGTTTGTTCATGTGTCTGCAGATGGAGCACAAGTCTTGTCTCCACAGCTCCATGAAGATCTCACATAGGAAGTCTTTGATTCTTCTCAGGTTTTTGAAAAGGCCAGCCTTATGCCATCCTCCATGGTAGGGCACCTTCACACACCAAGCCACCAAGCCATCATGGAACCACAACGCAGCGCAGCATAAGGCCCAGGTTTATAGCCACATTCAGTCAGCATTCACTCCTGATCACTCACTGTGATTTAGAGAAGACTCATATCTTGCCTGGCAACCTGGAAAGAGAAGAAGGGGAATCTATTAGCACTCTCCCCGGGAGGTCATGATTGCCAGACACACATATCCTCTCCCCCCTCAAGCGTGGGCAGGAAAAAAAGCACAGTCTCTGGCAAGTCGCGTATGCCAGACCCGGCATATGCCGGACATTGCAGGAAGCCACCCTGCCCTGGCTGGGAAAATAGCATTGGGAAGTCTCATATGCCAGACGAAAGATGCATTGTGCTGGATACAATGGGAAGCCACTCTCTGCTGCTACCTCACTCCCACCTACAGGATCCTGACCTGGCAGGCCACTTACCATGCCTGCCTGCCTCCGGACTGAGTATGTTCCAATGCTCCCCTGAGACGTCTGGGTACCTGATATAAAGTGCCCACTTTAAAGCAAACATTTGGCCTTGTACGGAACACTTCTCTATGGTCTTTAAAGAGGACTTCACTGTACGCTTAAAGATTAGGCCAGATTAGGGTTAGGCTTAACACAATGTATCTCCTGTAATGTCTGCCCTTATAACTTTTCTTGCAGCTGTGCCATCTGCAAGCTCAGTGCGTCCTCCACCTCCAACAGCATCTGCCCGCCTGGCATAAATCTTCAGGAGAAAGCAGACAAGAGAAGAGATGTTCCAGGACCAGATAGACTGCATACACTCCCTAATACAGGAGATCTGGACTGAGCACCAGGATCAGACTGCGGACTGGCAGCAGAGGAGGGCCACCCGGGAGCAGCTCTCAAGACAGCATAAGACAGTGTCATGGAGTACGTTGAGACCTGTCTCGAATGGGCCTTCTCCCAGAACCCCATCCATGCCAATGACTCTCCCAGTCCTTTCTCCTCTAGCTTCATGGCTTTCACCACCAGGGCCCCAGGAGCCACTGGGACCCCAGGACATGGGGGAGAGAGACTCAAGGTGAGACAGAGACTCTAGGACCTTGGGAGGCAAAAGGCAGCCCCACTCCCATTACTGAGGCTCCCTGCCCACTTCCAGATTCCAACTAATTAATTTCCCTGTGTTTTTCCCCAAATAAAAACTCCTGTTAATTGCACAATGCTCTTTATTGCTTGAACTTCAGGGGTAGGGGATTAAAAGGGGCTACATCTAGACTGCATGCCTTTTTCGACAGAGGCTTTGTTGACAGTATCTGTTGACAAAGCCTCTGTCAAAAAAAGAGCATCTAGATTACATTATGCGGATCAAAAAATCAATCCACTTTTTTGAAAAAGAGCATCCAGACTGCCGGACACTCTGTCGACAAAAGAAGGCAGATCCGTGTACACACGCCAGTGCCTGCAAGTGCCACTGGTCCGGGATGGTGGTGGGGCAGGTATGGGGGCTGCCC